CAGGGACTTGGTTTGGATATGCCACCACCAAGTGGGAAACTTAGAGCCTCGCTGGAAGGGACCATTTACTGTCATCCTGACCACCCCCACGGCAATAAAAGTAGACGGCATCAGGGCCTGGACTCATGTGAGTCATGTCAAACGAGCCGAGGAAGAGGACGCCCCCCCAGAGATGGATGCTGCTGCCAATGGACCCCACGATCACGGACTGAAGCTAAGACTCAAAAAAAACGAGTTCATTGAGTTCATTGTTGCTCTTATCGTTAGGTCTAGGTGGGAAATAGAGAAAGGCTTGACATACTATTTCTAGAATAAGGGGCAGCTCTGCGTAGCCCTAAGAGAGAAATTCTGTTTCTGAGTAAATCACACTGGAGTCATTAGAATAGTCCAGCAGCCATTGAAAAGGGACATAGAACTGGCTGAAAAGTCAAAGATTTGACTAATCTCCAAAGAAAAGGGGGGAAGGTAAGGGCCTATTCAGCTAGAGTGGCCCCACCCTGGTTGAACTGCCATTTTGTTGTAGAACTTAAATTGACTCTCCCCTCCCCCCCCAGGGTACTTACTTAAAAACAAGTCCTGGAAATCAGTCCCAGGTAACAAAGTCCAAATACAAGGGTGGGTCAGGCCAGGTGGAGGTATTCAATCAGTGGGGGTGCATACTCTCTCCTAGCTACCAAAGAGTATGGGCCCCGCCCTTTGGGCACCTTTTGGGTGCCAATTCTAACCAAGGTGATAGGCTGGTTCAAACGTCTACTAGGGTAAATTGTAATTTAATTGGTCACCTAGCATGACTGTGCAGCTTTCTCTGTGTGTTACAATTTCATTGGCCACCTGTGTGTGGCCAGGCCCAACCACATGGCCTTTGTTCTATAAAAGCTAGTCTATGAAACAGAGAGGGGTTGCCCTCTCTTGTAAGAGGTGTGTCCCCAAACGTTCGGTTTGATTCTTTTTTTTTTTTAAAGATTTTGTTTATCTACTTGACACAGAGAGAGATCACAAGTAGGCAGAAAGGCAGGCAGAGAGAGAGCCGGAAGCAGGCTCCCCGCTGAGCAGAGAGCCTGATGCAGGGCTTGATCCCAGGACCCTGGGATCATGACCTGAGCCAAAGGCAGAGGCTTAACCCACTGAGCCACCCAGGTGCCCCATTTGGTTTGATTCTTGATGCTTGGCGCAAAATAAAGCTTTGCTTGACCTTTGCTTTGTGTCAGTCTCGCTCCTTTAATCACGGACCCATTACTGGGGGACCCAACACTTTGACTTCAAGAGATCTTTCTTCTTGATCTTGTTGGAATAGTGTAATAAATACTCACTTTAAATCCAGCAGAAACTCAAATCAGGGAAGTTTCCCAGTTCATGCAGAACCATGCTCCCTGGAAGGTCAATTTTTTTTTTTAATACAAGAGTCCTCAGATTGCGTATATCAGAATTAATTTCTTTCCTACTTTGTTAATGACATGGTGGGTGTATTGTTGTCACTTCCTCAAATACATTTAGGCCATTCTGTGGCTTTAACAATAGAGGGATGGATAGATGGACAGACAGACAGGCAAATGAATGCATGGAAGGAAGAAAGAAGAGAATGGGCTAGCATATGCTGAGAAAGCTGGAAGGAGAGTTTGGGTCTAGATAGCAAAAGATTTTGAATGCTTGAATTTATAGCTTATCTATTAGCAAAAAAAAAAACAACAACAACAAAAAACCCTACAGAGGCTTTTCAGCAAGTAAGTAATCTTATAAAAATCCTATACATTTAACCTGGACGCTTGTCCACAAGAGAAATTTGGAGACAGAGGTTGATCGGCATTGTGGACTGTGTTCCAGCCTCAAGCTGTCCAGGCTCTGAAACCTACTTTTGCATTTAATCTCTAACTGAGCTTGAGCAAGCTACTTAATGTAAGTGTGTATAAAACAGAAATATCATCAGAAGTTATGAGGACACCTGGATGGACTAATGTACATAAAACTCTTTGTACATACATTGCACACAGTAAGAATGCAGTAAATGGGAACTATCTAAGAAAAGGGATGCAAGGCAGGCTGCTGGGCCAGCCCTCTCACTGTGAACCGTAGTCTGAACCACAGCTCACTGAGCTTCAGAGCTAGGAGGAATTTTAGAGAATTTGCAGATAAGGATTAGAGATACCTTAAATCAACTAGGCTTATATTTTAGAAAATGGAAAAAAGAGAATGAAAAGAGAAAAATCACTACTTATTCTGCTAAGCAAGGATATACATTATCAATATCTTGTGAATTACTTTCCAAACTTTGTGCTGTTCATATTTTGCCTACATAGCAAGATTAAGTAGCAATCACACGGGGTCCCTGGGTGGCTCAGTGGGTTAAGCCTCTGCCTTTGGCTTAGGTCCTGATCTCAGGGTCCTGGGACTGAGCCCCACATCAGGTTCTCTGCTCAGCAGGGAGCCTGCTTCCCTCCCCCCACCCCCACCCCCGCCTGCCGCTCTGCCTACTTGTGATCTCTGCCTGGCAAATAAATAAAGTCTTTTTTTAAAAAGCAGCAATCACACCAGCTCATATCTTGATAACCATTATAGATTCTCTTTACAAATACCATTTATTTGCTATATTAACTAAGCCCTTCCCTTTTTTTTTTTTAAGGTTTATTTATTTATTTATTTATTTGAAAGAGAGAGAGAGAGAGCAGGGGGAGGAACAGAGGGAGAGGAAGAGAAAATCCACAAGCAGACTCCTTGCTGAGCAGGAAGCCGAACATGGGGCTCGATTCCAGGACCCTGACATCATGACCTGAGCAGAAATCAAGAGTCAGACGCTTAACCCACTGAGCCACCCAGGGACCCCAAGCCTTTCCCTTTAAGATTAGACATTTTCATTTTAAATTTGGGGTAATATAAATAACTTCCCAAATAACTTTGTAAATAATTATTTTCATATGCATGGAGGGTTTTCCTGAAGACAAGTTTTCCAGGGGAAAAATTACAAGGAAATTAATCTGGTTTTTACTAAGTCATGTTTTTTAATTACTTTCCAAATAGCTTACAAAGTTATTCTCCCACTAGTGTATGTTTATTTCACAACATCTTGCTCGAATTCTCTGTTCTTTAATATTGCTATTAAATTATTCCTACAACTCCCTAATGTTTTTTTAAGTTATTTCTATACATTTTTAAGAATACCAGTGGGTTTAAACATTTTCCATGTGTTTTGAACCATGTTATTTTTTTCCTGTGCAAGTGTCCTCATCACATCTTCTGTATATTTACCTATTTTGATATTAATGTTTTCCTTTTTAAGCATATAAAAATTATGCAGAAGAATTATTAATCTTTTGTGAGATTAACAGCAAGTCAACAGTAAACTGGTTTGAATGTATTTTTTTGGTCATTTTTTACATATAATAAATTTGTTTTTAATATTTATGTAATAAATTATTCTATTTTTCCCATGATTTTGTTCACTGTTCTTAAGTTTAGAAAATTCTTCTTCAGTTTGTTGACTAACACGCATTTATATTTTTTACTAACAACTTTTGATTTAATTACTTTAATCTCTCTGGAATTTATTTCATCATGTGAGGTACTTCATTTATTTGTCCAACCAATATTTATTGATTGCCTATTGATTTTGCAACACTTTCATTTTCAAATAGTCAACTTTGTGCTTTTCAAATTAGAGTACTCTTGCCTCAAGATAAAACATGTAATAAATATCATGCATCAGCTAGGAGCACTTTTATTACTGAAAAATTGGAGAATAGGTAAATTATTTACAAGATTATGTCATGTTAAAATTAATATGGATATATAATGCAGTAAAATAAAGATGATAACTCAAAAATTTTAAAGTAAACATGAGATTGTACTTTCGCCAGACTACTTTGGGCGACTCTGCCCACACATCCAGATTTCAAGAAGGAAAAGGTCATGTTTGGTGGCCCTACCCTGTAGGGATGCTTCAGGAGAAAGTATGAGAACCTCTTATTTGAACAATTGATTCAACAAAATTTGAGGATAATCCTGTTCTTCCCCATAATTTAGAATTCTTCTTTTGTTTTATTCAAAGTCTTTCATATTCAAGTCCATTCCTTGTTTTTCCACTGTCTTTGTACTAGTTATTACTATCATTCATATTGGTATTATAATTATTGGCTACCACATATAACAAGCTATCTATTTAAAGGATAACATTTGAATTAAGAAAAGTATTTAATCATTCCCACAAATATAAGGGAATGATTAAAGAAGAAATAAAATGGTGACATAAAATCATTAAAAGTTCAATTTCTTAAGATTTGATAAATGTGAATGCTCAGATTATGATATAATATTAAGTGGAAGTAAGTTCAAATACCAGTCTGCATGCTTCTAATCTTTAACAAGAGTTTAATAAAGAAGGTATACCAGATGTTAGCCATGATTTATCTGGATAATAGCGTTATGTTTGAACTTCCTATTTTATATATATTTTTCATTTTCCTCCTATAACATGAAGTTAATATTTCTATAATCAGAAAAAGTTAATGAATGCTATTATTAAAAGGTAAAAAATCGGGGCGCATGGGTGGCTCAGTGGGTTAAAGCCTCTGTCTTCAGCTCAGGTCATGATCCCAAGATTCTGGGATCGAGCCCCGCATTGGTCTCCTGGGATCGAGCCTGGCATTGGTCTCTCTGCTTGGCAGGGAGCCTACTTCCCCATCTCTCTCTGCCTGCCTCTCTGCCTACTTGTGATCTCTCTCTCTCTGTGTCAAATAAATAAATAAAATCTTTTTTAAAAAATAAAAGGTAAAAAATCTTTCCATCAAGAAGAGTACTCCCTGACATTGACACCAGAATGTCCTTTGGAAAGTGGAACTCTGAACAGTACCCAAAATATCAAACTTAAAGCCCAGTTACTTAACTAAGAAATCACTAACTCCCTTAAGTGTTCATTCCAAATGTTCTTACACTTATTGGGTCATTCTGAAACTGACATTCTTTAAGATCATTTAGAATGTTTATATATATATTTTTAAAATAATGTTTATTTAAGATGGAATATGGCAAAATCTCTGACTTGAAAACTGGTGACAAAGGGGAAAAGAGTGGGGCTTCCACCCCAGTCTTAGGTTTGGGGGCAGGCTGCAGGTGCCTGGGGACCACTGTGCTCTTGTTGCACAGAAGTAGGTGGCTGAGTCCCTAGGATGGGTGGCTGTGTCTTGCAGGGAAAGATGTTTGTCCTTCTTATTAAATAGGACGGTGAGTCTTTGTTCTTGTTTCTTGACCACATTTGAAAGAGTATATATAAGCAACTGGAGGCCTTTTCCAGGTTCTTGCTTGTACCAAAAGAAGTAGTTGGGGGCACTGTCTGTGTAAGTGCAGTTGATAACAAAGCTGTCTCCCTCCCGGACAGTCAAGAAAGAAGGGTGCTGCTGTATCTCTTCTCCTCTACTCAACCCTGTGGGGAAAACAAAAAAAAAGTCAGACAAAATCATTAGGTCATCATTCTCCAGAGTTTTTCTTTTTTGGTGCAGCAACTTCAGGAAGTCTGGAAAAAGCTAATCTCCTTTTCAGACTTCTAATACTAAGACACCCTTTACCCAAAAGTTTTCCACTCACAGTCCAGCTGCAGCCACAAGAACAGGAACATTCCAATAAGTGTCTTCATTGTTCCTCCAACTGAGATCTGCAATCTCCAGCCAGGAAAGTTACTTCTATTACCAGGTTATCTCTTTCCTTCCTCAAATGCACAGTGGTTTCTTAAACTGTCTACACAGGCATCTGCGTCTGTCTTTAACTTACTCTCACAGTCAACCAAAAGGACCCTTTCATATAATCTGCATCAGCAGAGATGCTTCGCCATCTTGTGGTCGGGTCCCCAACTGCAAAACCAGCTGGACCAATCCTCTTTTCTCCTCTATCTGTGGGAGATGAACACACAAAACAGCAATAGATTAAATAAATTAAGTTTTTGTCACCTTCGCCGTGGGGATCCTGGTGATCAGAGCTGAAGTGATGGGGGTACTACCAACTGATGGACAGTAGACGTCTTTATTTCTTACAATCACTTCTTTTATAACTTCCACAAGATCCAATTACAAACAGAATATAGATTTATGTGCAGGATGTGGGCTACATGTGAGATGTGATTTGCGTGCAGGCAATCAAGTGAGACAAGTGAACAACCATTATCTTGTAGCTTTCAGTGATAATATCTCTTAGCTTTAAATGACAAGAGCAAGTTAAGGATTCTCCACACTTATCAGATCCATCTAAAGGAGGACAAGAACACACTCCAGGGATCCTCCCATGTTTAATCTGGCCTTGACCTAGGAAGACTCTTGCCCTCCATCTCGTGGAGTTTTCTCACAGGATTTGACATGACCCCAGTCACATTGGTGAGGATCTGGGTTGTGTTACAACAGTTCTGAGTGTGTCTCCAATCAGAAGTTATGTGGATTAGCAGAAAGCAAACATAGTGAGAAGGTAGGGTTCAGAATTCCATCACATCTTCTCAACACAGTATTGAGTCATTTTACATAAATTTGAAGAAGTTATATGTTTCCCACATTTTTTCAACAGGCTTAGTCTACTTGAAATCAGGAAAATGTCAATGGATAAATGCATAAAGAAGATGTAGTATATAGGGGCACCTGGGTGGATCAGTCAGTTAATCATTTGACTCTTGATTTTGGCTCAGGTCATGATGTCAGTGCTGTGGGATCAAGCCCCCACTAGAGCTCTGTGCTCACCATGGAGTCTGCTTGTCCCTTTCCCTCTGGTCCTCTCCCCCAACTCTCTCTCTTAAACTTACACAGTGTTATATGTCAATTATATTTCAATTTTTTAAAAACCTGATGAAAAATAAATACATAATTTTTATTAATTTTTTTAGTGTAGTTGACACACAGTGTTAACATTAGTTTCTGGTGTACAACATAGTGATTTGACTAGTTTAAACATTATGCTCTGCTCTCCACAAGTGTAGCTCCCATCTGGCACCATACAGTGCTACTACAGTACCATTGTCTATATTCCCTATGCTGTGCCTTTTATTCCCATGACTTATTCGTTCCATAACTAGAAGCCTGTATCTCCTGCTCCCCTTCCCCTGTGTTGCCCCTCCTCCACCCTCTCCCCTCAGGCAACCACTAGTAAATACATCTTGAATGCAGTCACAAATTTCAATATTCACCACCATAACCTTAATCCAGACTATGGTCTACCCTCACCTAAACTGTTGCAATAGTCTTCTAACTGGTCTCCTTCCTAGTTCTGCCCTCTACAACCCACTCACTACATAGCAGCAAGACAGTACTAGAACATAAACTAGATCATGTCAATGTGGAGCTCTTATTTAGTCAATGACTCTGATATTATATTTAGAATAAAATCTATACTCCTTTCAAAGATCCACAAGATCTGGCCCCAGACTACTTCTCCTATCTTATACTTCTGATACTATCTTATACTTCTGATCCTCACTCCCCTGAATTTGCTAGCTTTGCCTAATTGTTTTTTATTCTTCAAGTCTCAGATCCACAACCATATTTTTACAAAAACTTGTACATGAATGTTCATAGCAGCATTATTCATCATAGCCAAATGGTGGAAATAACCCAAATGTCCATCAAATGACAAATGGATAAACACAATGTTATATATCTCTATAACAGAACATCATTCAGTCTTAAAAAGGAATGAAATACTGAGACATGCTACAACATGGATGAATCTGGAAAATAGGCTACAGCGAAGTAAGCCAAACACTAAAGGACAAATATTATGATTCATTCCACTGATAGAAGGTACCTAGAACAGGTTAATTACTTAATTATATGACACAACTCTGAATATCTAAAACGTTGATTCTCTTCTTCTACCCACATCCTTAAGTACTGAGGGCCATAGGACATATCCAAGTTAGTTTTGTGCAGTTTCACATCCTAATACTAGGTGAGTGGACAATAGTAGGTGGAAGGAACAGTCCTGAAAGCAATTCCACACTAGGAATGGTTAGCAGAAACTTAACTATATATAGAAATCACTATAAATCACGTTAAATATATCTCACTTAATGTAAACTAAATGTGTCCTCAACTCAATCTCACCTCTGCCAGATTCCCAAAAACGTTTGGAGCCACTCCAACACCACCTAAACAAGGGCAAGCCCGGCAGAGGTGTAGTTAGCATGGGAAAACACTGGTTTTGACAAATTGTTCTTAAAATAGCTTACTTCCAAAATTTTCATATACAGAAAATGTGACTGTATTATAGGACTCCTCCCAGAACTTGGCCTCCATCAAGTCTGATTGGATCTTGGAAGCTCTTTTGTCTTTGTGCCATAGTCTTGGCCTCCATGTCCCCCTATGAGCTGTTCCCCTGAACATGGATTATGACCCTTCTGAAACATAAATCAGACTAGAGCACCTACTTAAAACCCCTCAAATGCTTCCCATTTCATACAGAATAATATATGAATGTAAACATAATGGTATAAGGCCACATATGATAGGGCCCTTAACTACCTCTTTGACATATCACTACCACTCTCCCCTCACTACCTTCTAGGAACATCAGCCTTCTGTCACAAATATACCAAATTTGCTTCTGCCTCATGGCCATTGTTGTATTTGAAAACTTCCTTCTCCTAGGTTTTATCATCTTGCTTTTTGTCATTTTTGTCATTGAAGACAGTTCAAATGTCATCATTCCAGAGAGCTCAGATGTCATCACTGTGATTGTCTTTCATATTACTTTATTTTCTTAATGTCACTTAAATCTTGAAGTAAATTATGCAATTGTTTCCTTGTCCTATCCCTAGAATAAAAATTCCACACATACAGGAAACTTATCTGTACTGTGGAATTAGATATCTTCAACCAGATACTGGTGCCTATCATATCACACTACAGAATAAATACTTGGTGAGTGAATGCACATCTGGATGATCTCCAAATGAAATAATTTTGACTACTTCTCTCTTAGAAGAAAGCAGATCCCCGGTGGCTTGGAAGGGCCTGGTAGGCCCAGGGTTGAATCATGGGATGACCCTGGTCTCATTTGTCTTCTGGCCTCTGCTGCCTGGGTCACTGAGACCTTCTGGGAAAGGCAGCGGGTGCTTCTGTAGAAATGAGGATAATAAATGAGTCACTTCATAAGTGACCTCAAACCAGCTTTTCCTTAGATGTCACTAGTGGAAAATTATCAAAATATGCTTCTTTATTCCTTGACTTTTATGAAAACATTCTGCATACTTATCACTGTAAATAATGTGATTTATAAGTTTCTGAGAAGGTAGTCAGAGTATAGAGATTGAGAACATGGGATCTGAAGTCAGATTGCTTCTCTTCCAAGAGTGGGCCTGTGGATTAGGAACTTGGCTTTTTAAAGTCAGTTACCTTTTTATTTCCTAAGCTTCTAACCCTTGTTGTAAAAAAATGGGGGTGGGGACAACACAACACCTGCATTATAAGGTGTCAGGAGATGACATGATACTAAAGATGTTTGTACAACGCTCACCGCACATGCTGTTATCCAAACGTTAGCTACTTTGCTATTATATTTGTTATTCAGAACCTCCAGGAACTAAAAGTCACAGGCATAAGCAGGGCCAAATAAAACCAGGCTCTTTTTCACCCTTCTCCAAAGCTGAGCTATGTGTTCATATTAACAGGTGAGTTGTACCTGCCGCACACAACATGGGTGGGGTTCACACCATAGGAACCTATTTAGTGTCTGTTCATTGAAGCTCTAGATTTTGACCCTGAGTTGGATGTTTCCACTGTTTCCTTAAACATGGATTTGAATCTTGCCATTGTTTTTAGAATCTCTAAGGGCTCCATGTTAGCAGTATAGGTTTATAATTATAGAGAGAAGGAAAAGACTGACCAAATGAATAAGGAAACCCAAGGCTACACACCGCTGCTGTACAAGGCCTCCTGGGGGAAGGGCGGGGGCTACAGGAGCAGCTGCAGTTTGGGTGCAGGCTGCAGATCACAGGGGAGCACTGTGCCTCCACCGCACAGAGGTAGGTGGCTGAGTCTTCCAGTTGAGAGGCCCCGATGTGGAGGGTGCTGGACCATTCCTTAGTATTCACTGTGCAGTTTAACCTCCTACTGTGCTGCATCCCTGAAGCTATGTAAAACAGCCGGGTGAGGCCACCGCCCCTGGGGTGCTGTTGGAACCACTGCACACTGTTTGGACTGCTAGAAAAATTGTACTTCAGAGTAGAGCTGCCTCCCTCCTGGAGGCTCAGGGCTGAAGTGCTCTGCTCCACATTCATCCCTCTCACCCCTGCGTGGAAAGAGAAAAACAATATCACTGGGGAGTCACTGATGCAGTTTTTAAACCTGTGAAGTATCCCAAGAAACAACCCTTAGGATGTAGGACTCTAGGAGATCAGTGTCAGCTCCCCCCACTCCTTCCAGCTCTGGACCACTCCCTAGCCCCATCTAGAACATCCCTACTCACAGCAAACCTGGAGCCACAGGAGCCCCAGCAGTGCTCCCCAGTGTCTTCTCATGATTCCTTGTCGAGTTGCTTAGTTACCAACACCCCTTCTGTGCAGAGTATAGAGTCTTGGGTCTAGATAGGTTGTGTTCTTATAGTCAGTCCATTCCACCACAATCACAAAACACCAATCACGCTCACATTTGAGCTTTGTCA